ATATTACTCATAAATAAAAGAGGATAACAGATTAAACATATTAATGGTAATTTACTAATTAAGACACTGTCCCTTTCATTCCTCGATGATTGCTAACGAGATCACATCGTGCGTGCGTGAAGGAACGCCTGGCTTGCGCCAGGGCTTACCAATATACAAACAGCAAGGAGCGTATATGAATACGCTATGCACATACATACTTGTGATCCCAGGTCAAGGTAGGTAGTTATAAAGCGGATAGTGTTGTTAATAAGGTCAAGTTCTGATGATCTAGTGGTAAGCGATCTTGTCTGCTGAGCCAGAGGTCGTGGGTTCGATTCGATTGGTCTGGGTTACTTATCTATCATATTTAGAAATGTACTCATAGGTATGTTTATCAACAGCAATCTGGTCACCATAGTACAGTAGCTCTGCCTAGTCTAGTCTAGTTTGAATTATTATTATTATATTAAGGAGCCCATGAGTGTTAGGGGCTCTTTTAAACCCAAAAACAAATCAAAAATAAAAGAAAGACGAGTAAGGGACTCTAGAGACTTTCCATGCATTTTATCTTATTTTATAACTTTTTGCACAAGCACATGCATCGGCGGACTTAATGCCTAAGGCATTCTCTGCCAGTCGACCGATTGGGAGATGCTAAGAAAGGATGAGGGAAAAGTATGGGGAGGTAATAAATGATAGATGTTTTCTTAAATACCAACTATCTTAAAATTTGGTGTATACATCTAAATACCACACACATACATATATAAACGTGCAGACATTTCCTTTGAAACTTGGACACACAACTTAAAGAAAGTACCTTAAGACAATTCCAACTTAAGTAGTCTAGTAGCCATATTTGTCGTGAAAGAGAAAATAAATTTACATAATACAATTGAGTCTGCACCTACAAGGTGTCGCCACTCAGATGCTTCAAGTTAAAGTTCGCTCAAAAGGAGGTAATCAGATTTTCTGTCTGACTGTTAACTCTGCACGCCCGCGACGATTTGTGCAGCAAAGATTCTTAACATAAACGAGATTTATGTCCTTGTAAAGTTTGTGTTGCGTCTTCGGTGAATCATTGTGCATTTGAGTTTAAACACATCACCCAGAAACTCCTTGTTTCGCAAACAAGGGTTGGCCAGTTGGAATTGCAGCGATGTTCCTAACTCAAAAAAGTTTATTTTAACTTAACAAGTAATAAAATACAGTCACACAGTTGTTGTTCTGAGTCTGGGTGTACTTTGTGTCCGTTTCATGTTGTAAAGTCCCCCGCGACACAGGATTTCTTTCTAGTACGGTAGTTGTCTTTATTAAGAGAAAAATAATCTAATAAATGTGTCAAGTCTTTTAATGTATGACTACATCTATTTTCACAAATATATACATACATTGATAATATAATCAATAAAATAAGAACTCGCTTATACAGATCACTCACTCAAATTTCACTCAAGAAAGTTTTCGAGAGTCACACTCCTATTTGAAATAACTTAACAACTTCTCCTCTCTTTCAACACTATTTGTTGTTTCTGTAACGTGTGGGCCAAATAGTGAAATGTCAACGTAACCGGGCCCATACCTTACAGTTTTCTTTTAAAGTTTTTAGGCCCAGTGGTCCAGGCTCTGCGTTGAAGAATCGGTTAATCCAGTTAGTCATGGCAAGTAATTATATTTATAATTTTCGGACATCAGACACACAACGCCATCTAGTTTCAAACTAAGCAGAGCTTGTACTATGAAAGCTAGATTGACTAATACAATACTTTTCCCTTTTTTTATGTAAATACACATAGAAAACACACATACATAGAAAACACTCAAACTCAGAAACAAATATTTGCAGATCATACAAACCATTGGTCCGACCCGGGAATCTAAACCGAGACCTCAGCACAGCAGTCGCATACGCAACCACTGCACCACCGAGGCAGTCTAATAATTTAATATGTATTTAAAGAAAATTAAACAAACGAGTATGAAATATAGCTTTAATCACTTTTAATAATGTCTATTTACATTGGGCTTAAAACTATAAAAACTGGATGTCTACAGTAAATATTGTAAAAATATTGTACGAGGTACATTTTACAAAAAAAATGGGTGAACGCGGGACAGTGGTAGGGCGGTTAGAATCGCTGGCTTTACAATAATGTTACAAAGCATCCTTCAATTAAAAAAAGTAGTATTTAAATTTTTCTCTATACATAAAGATCACAAAAGTTCGCGGGTTCTTATGACACATACATATTTGCTGCCTATCATGATCATTAAATATAAAAAACTAAAAAATTAACAATTCATGTAAGTAAATACAAATTTGTCATGTACTTGTTAAAAAATAATTAAATAACTCCTTACTACAAAAATGCTTCCTCATAACCATTAAAAAATTCAATAATTGACATGTTATTGTTATAATTTGTATGAAATATCTCGAATTTGAAATTAAACCGATAATTCGAACGGTGAACCGCAAATCGTAACTTACATAGAACGACCATTGAATAAATGAACGTTGAGGTCGTTTTATGGTATTTTCGAAGCATTTTCAAGTTAGACGGTGTGGTGAACATTAAAAAATAAATAGACACATAATATATTGTATATAAAAATATGCACCAGAACATAAGCAAGTACTTAACTTATAACATGATAAAATAGCTACCAAAAAGTGCTAATATATGATTTAAAACTTGTAGGAACTCTTACTTATTGTAATTATAGTACATAAACGTCAAACTGTAGAACGATTCAGGCGAAGATATAAAAATGGAAAATGGCGTTCAAAAATCGGAGATTTGATTTAAACATGTATGTGTTAAAAAAACCCTACAGTTTAATTTCTACGCCTTCAATTCGAGGTACATAACTTCGTTTTCTTTTTAATATTTACTTAATATTAATGTAAAGCTAATAGAAGCTCGAACAAACCATATTTCTTTATGTTGTTTCTACAATTTGACGTTAAAAACTGAACCGACAAGTGATTCTAATTCATTTCGTAATGTTCTTATATATATCTCGCCTTTCAGCTAACTGCACGTCTGCTTTGGTTAACCAGCGAGTTTTATTTACACCTAATTATTTAGGATGTTCCTAATATAAATTATTACTTGGACATTTTAAATTCAAAACGTCTAAGTATACAACTTAATGCATTAGAAAACGCTTGAAAAGCAATCCTCACTAAGCTACACAAGTGCCTTAAAAAAAAGTTAGATATCATTTAAATCGCTTGATTTTTCTGTTTGTAGGTATAAATCACTTAATTTATGTATTCGCGGATTGCCTTTAAGCCTTTCAAGCTCCAATATTATCTATGTACCTTACACAAAATAATAAAATACATAAATACGTATGCATGTATATGTATCTTTCGTATTCGGAAATGTCAAATACCTTAACTTTTAACTTAAAGTTATCCCAATAACTAATGTTTAAAAATGTTCTTTATCCTAAGTACATCCATTGTGGATCATTTCAATCCAGACTTCAAAATCATCCATGTTTAAAACGAAATGCAAAAAATGGAATAATTGTTTTCAGGAATATCCTGTAATTGAAGCTAGCTAAGTCCATCTCATTAAAATTACATATAAAACAATATCGTACAAACCGAATGCTGAATTGGATAAATACAACTTCATAAAACATTATAAAAACAGTGTCGGTATATGAACTAAAATGGGAATAACTTAGAGCACACAAAGTTAAATATTTTAGCAAACCGATACTAACTCAGCGCGTTGCACATTGACTATTCAAACAACGAGATTTTGACAAACAACATAAAGATAAAGGCAGACTTAAACGAACAAAAACTGCCTTTAAAATGCGTTTCAATGGATAATTCCATTCCATTCCTTAGGTACAAATAACATACTCCAGCCCATACCGCATTTGCGTCCTATTAATATTGTAATTTCACTGTATGTTATGAGTGCCACATATTAAAATTATATTCGATGTTAAAAGTAGCCGGTAAAATATGAACTTCGATACAATTTGGCAGTGTTAATATACATGTAAAAAGTTCAATTATAACATTAGCTGCAACTTCACTCTACATTCAAAAGAATAACATTTGTGTGTGTGAGAATATTTCTACAATAGTCTAGATTATAGCCACTTTCTAATAAATGTGCCAGACTCGATGGATAATATTTATCAGTTTGCATAATGTAATAAAAACTTCTGAATAACAAAGCTTAACCTACTTCTGTACTTCTAAAACAGTCGATTTACTATTCATAACACCGTCAAAATCTAAAGAATTCTTGTGTATTGAAGTGTGCAACACAATACCAAACAAATAATAAAACCAACCACACATCGCTTTATACGAACTATTGACTTCATCAACAGCGGCAAAGCGAATCGTCTCAGTCTTCGTGTGATCTATTTAAAAAAATATCTTTAGCCTGCTCGAGAATGCTTTAAGGAATGTCAAATTATTGCCTGATGCGTCAACAAATTCAAGCTGGTAAATATGAATCCGTAAGATTTTTGTTAGTGACATTTTAAATGATATGATTTTTACCAAAATTGATAAACTAATTTTGCGAAAGAATGTATCATTTAGTCTAAAACATTCTCCTATGCTTAACTTCAATATTTATGGAATATAAAATTCATTATACGTATCGTTTGGTCTCATACTCGAAAATGTTCACGCATCATACACAGTGAATTTAGAGTAATCAGTCTTGGCGATTGATGAAGTAATCATAGCTACAATACCGTTTGAACATCGCGTACTATCCATCCTAACCAAAGATTACCACAAATAATAAATACTTAAAACAACAATGTACGTTTGATAACGTTACAATGATTATATTCAAAATGGTCCATAATTATTACGCGACAAGTAAAAAATCTAGCACGAACATTTATTTACAGGAGCACCGCGAAAATTAATTGTTAAAACACGTCTCTTTCACTGATATCGTGACGTTGGTCTCTCCCCTCACTAAAAGCTCATTGGCACTTTGGTTAACCTTTAGTCTAATAATTTACACTTCCGTTCCATCCTCACCTTCATCTTCGAAAAGTGGTTCATTCGGATTCACTTCCGTACTCGGTTTTTTTTTCGGCTTTGGAGGTGGTCTTGGAGGAATCTTTCCACTTCTGCCTAAAGTTCCTGATTGATTTATTCCGCTGTCATTTTTCTTTCCATCGTCTTTTGATGGAGAATTAGGTTCCTCCTTACTGTCTACCCTCGGGACCCGCCTCAAAGATCCAGTTTCAGGTTTACCCTTTCGACTCAATGTATTGTTGTCAGTGTTATGGCTCGGCGAATCGTTTTTGCTATCACTGAACAAAACTTTTCTAGAGTCAGGTTGTGGAGTAGAAGTGTTTTTTGCTGTCCAGCTCATTCTTGGATTCACTGGTTCCTGAGGACCTGGTGTGGAAAATTGTTGTGACAATTGAGAGCTGATGCTGTTGCGAGGATTCATTTGTGGTACAGGCGACGGCGCAGGTTCCTGCTCCTCGATTGGCGCGTAGAACACAGGGTGTGGCGTTGGATAAACCTGAGGTGTAGCTGGCAGGGGTCTATTCCTCATAGGGGAGAATTGGGCTTCTAAACCAGCTTTATTCAAAGAGAGTACAGAACTACCGTCTGCTGTGGTTCGAAGTCCTAAATTATCGTATAATGGTTCTTGGGCCTCGGAGCTTGGTAATATCTGAGTGCTGGCAGTGCTAGACCAGCTTGGTACTCGGGGGCGTCTTGGAATAGTTACATATCCTTGTCTAGGAGTAACAACTGGAGGAGTTATAGGCGCAGTGAAGGGAGACTGAGAGCGCGAGTACGGAAGAGTTCGGAACAAGTTTTGGTTGGTCATACCATAAATCGGTGAGTGTATTGGACTGACTGGGTTTATCTGCATTGGCAGTCTGGTTGTATCAGGTACTGTGGAAGCATTGCTTGCTGCTGGGGAGATTTGGGCGGCCCTGGGAGGGAAGGAGAGAAGATCAGGTGGATATGCCCTTCCATCGGTGCGACCGTACTCAACATTAAGGGCGTCGTGTGATCGTTTTGTCGGTTGTTCGAAGTCCAGTGAGCGCTTTTCGTCATCATTATGAGCTGCAACAAAAATATATGTTTTTTATAGTATTTTAAACTAGTCCTAGTACAGTAACAAACAAGGCCCAATAAATTTGTAACCAATGGTAACAAATTTTATTTGAAACTGGCAATTACTCGCGGCTTCGCTAGTGTAAATGTTTCTAACTTTGAAAATGACGAAATTACGTACAACTGTTCATCTAAGTTTTGACCCTCTGCAGGTGAAATTTCTAAAAAGCCTCTTATTGGGTGCTGACAACATTAAAGTCATCATCTGCCAAAATTTGAAGTTTGTAGACAGATCGGTTTAGGCTCCGCGTGGATGAATCGGTCATACAGTCAGGTCATTTCAATATTTAAAATATATATACATTTATTGATTAACAACTTAAATATAAACCCTTCTGCAATTATTATCATAATAATCTATATATTTTAAATATTGACTGATTCAACTGATTCATCATCATCATCGGCCTATCGCAGTCCACTGCTGGACATAGGCCTCTCCCATTGCACGCCACTTACATCGATTTTAGGCTTCAACTCAACTGATTGCTTTAACCATAATTGCTTTAGCGCTCTTGTACGAGTCTTTTGTTCAATCCGTATTAATTAAAACCAGCAATCCGATAGTCAAAAGCAAAAGGACTCACAATTCAATGTTACTGCGGTTTTATTAATTTAAGTTTTTAATTAAGAGTCTCTAGTTTTCAATTCAATAGGTTACTAAAACTCTAAGATATTGGCATGTTGATCAAAATAGTAAAAGTTACTTACCGAACACAGAATCATTGTCCAGCAATGTTTTATTCAATTCAGACATCTCGGTTGCGCCGCTGGTGATTGAGGGTGGCACGTCATATCTTCGTGGAGGTTTGGTAACTGGATTCACGGCAGTGATTAGGCTTTTTTCCATTTCAGGTATGACAGAACCCTCAATAAGAGCTTCCCCGTTAGAAGCATCAGCCTTCTTCTTCTCAGTACCGCGTCTTCGACAACAGCAGTAACATAAGACTACAAGAATGATCAATAGAATTGCCGCCGTGCAGGAAACTCCAATAAGTACTGGCATCATATTGTTGTCCATTCCTGGTGGGACTTCTATACCAGGTGTATTATGTATTACAGCTAGAGTGACACTCCTCTCTTCTACTCCTCCGGGGTTTTTGGCAACACACAAATATTCTCCATTATCAGTTGTAGCCACATCAACGATAGTGAGGTTTACCCATTTACTGTTCTCCATACTATTCTGAGCTATATAGTATTTAAGCTCTCCTTGAAATTTATAACTGCCATCGATTATTTGTGCGTTTAAGACCCAATTCACTTCTGGCAATGGGTTCCCATTAACTTGGCAAGCGAGAGTAATATTGTTGTCCGATGTTCGTAATGTCGTACTGGCTGAAGGAAATACAATGCTAGGCTTGCATGCAAAATCGCCAGAATCTAGCTCTTTCCATTGCTTCCCATGAACTTTGGATGGTTCAATGCAAGTAATGGGTGAAGTATAGAAGTTCTTACTAATAACCCAATTCCTGAAGGGCTGGAGATAGCAGTCGCACCGCCAAGGGTTATCGTGTACGTCTAAATTTGACAACGATGTCAAAGCGCTCAGTGTGTCAATTTTAAGATGTTCTAATTTATTTCCATTGAGTCTCAGTATATTTAATTTGGGTACGTTCATAAAGGTCTTCATTCCTAGTTGGAAAATTCTATTGTTGCTTAAGTCTACCTTTTGAAGAAATTGGAGGTTATTAAATAAACCGTCTTCTAATTTTTCTAGCTGGTTATCATTTAGTAGTATCCACCTGATTTTGACGGTTTCCCGGAACGTGTCTGCATGAAGTGACTTCAAGTCGTTATTAGATAGATCCAGCTCTATCATAATAGCTAGTCCGCTAAAACCATTCCTTTGAATAGTTAATAGTTTACATTCTCTTAAAATAAGTTTCTTAAGATTGATTAGGTAGACTTCTTGGAAAGCCAATCTAGGTATTTCGTATAGTTCGTTTCCAGTGAGATCGAGGTTCTGTATATCTGCGCTTAAGTTTCGGGGAATACTTTCGAGTTGGGAATGTGAGCAATCAGCTTGTTTGTTGCCACTTGCCCAAACACATTTGCACTCTTGTGGACAGTTGTTCGTGAAATCTGCAAGGGCGGCAGCCAGAATCCCGATGAGTATCCAGACTTGTTTTTCCATTTTGAGGTCATAAGCTTCGAATCTGTAACAAAGAAAAGTGGCATATTAATAATCGTCAGACCAGTTAATGGGTGGCAGAACTGGCAGGCTAGAAATAGAAAGTGTTTGAGCACGCTACGGTAGCTTTAATGGGACCATTAAGAATGCAGGCGGTTTGGTTTTATGTGTTGAGAGTTGTAACCGTATATCTATACATATGTTCGGCTCTGTCAGTGTTTTCTGAATAGATTAAAGCTTCGTAAATGATTAAATGGGCCTACATCAAACGTTTAACAGCTGTTGGATTTGAAAGGCTTTGGTGGTATTAAAGGTAATTTATACGGCGTTCGGAGACAGGAACGATTATACTTGAGTGTTACTCTTCGTAAATACGGTATTCAAATAAATTTTTTAAAAGGCTATGCCAACATTTTTGATAAATTATTTTCATAAAGTGTAAAATGTTAGCCTTTTTTACTTGAAATCCGAGACCAGGGTAAGGATCGCTTAGTGGAGTAAGGACAGCTTAGTGATGTTAAATAAATAATTCGAAAACAGATCAGACCAGAACAGAACAGATCAATAAATTGCATTGATAGTGTATACAAACATGCAAAAACAATAGAAGGTAATAAAAAGCGAGAAACCTTTACACACATTGTCTATTAAACAAAATTTTGTTTACTAAGCTAATATTTTTAACTTTCTAGTATTTTCATTTTAAATATCAAGTCAGATCAGATATCCAAACACAGTTCGTTTCAAGTAATTTCTAATTGACAATAGTGTGAAGACTGCTTTATAGATGCCAGCTCTCCAGTCAAATTAAACCATTCATTATTCAAACCAAATAAAGACTTAAATGACACAAATGTTCGCAAGATTTGTAGTTAGTGTGACAATATTAGAGTTCACGATAATTACATCCAGTGAGAGTAAGGGCGTACATAAAGTGCGAGCAATTGCGATGTAAATGCGTTCCGCAGTGTGATCTGCGCCTTATGTTTTGTTGTGTGGTACAAGGAATAATAATAATAATAATAATAATATTCTACCACATACACACAACGCCATCTAGTCCCAAACTAAGCAGAGCTTGTACTATGGGTACTAGACAACTGATATAAATACATATATACTTTTTTTTGTAAATACATACATATTATACATAGAAACACCCAGACCAAATCAAACATCAAATGTTCATGCACACAAATGTTTGACTTGAGCGGGAATCGAACCCGCGACCTTTGGAATAGCAGTCCTTTACACAAACCACTACGCCATTCGGTCGTCAAATATACATAAACGGACATATACATAATATATATATAACAGACTATAGTAATAAATACGCTTATATGGAGCCACATAAAACTTTGTAGATGAAAACTCATAGTATGTCCCTGGCAGAGCTTACGAGCTCGAGCTACGACTGAGGTTACGAGCCCAACCCCCCAACCTCTCTGTCTATTTCTAGGTGGGGGGAAGGGGGGCTAAAAGGGGTCAACGTACTTGTGACTCGTGAAGTGTCCATGGACGATGGTAGTCACTTACCATCAGGTGCCCCGTGAACTTGTTTACAGTATGTAAAAAATGTATGTTGTTTTGCTAAGCCGGAACAATGCAAATCTAACGAACCAAAGATAATAAAATTGGTCCAGCCGTTCGTGAGTCATGTAATTATGGTGTAACTAACTGGATTTTGTTTTATATGGTAAAACTAACTTTTGGCCGCGGCTCTGCCCGCATGAATGTGGTTATCGCGGTAAAAAGTATCCTCAAGAATCAAAGTATCTTTATACCAAATTTCAACTAAATCGGTTCAGCGGTTTAAGCGTAAAGAGGTAACAGACAGACAGACACACTTCCGCATTTATAACATTCGATCGAGTCAAGACTTAATATTAGCCTATTTTACAGGTAAATGGAGGCAAGTAAAATATAAGAAAAAATATTCGCTTTGTACCACACAGCAATAACACAGGAGCAATGTTGTGAATGTTCTAATTACAGTAAAAGGAGATCTCTTTCTTACATTCCATCGTGTTACTGTTCTCTGTGTTCTCTCTCACATACAGAGAGACACAGCTATACGTTACAAACGTGAACGGGTCACCTGATGGAAAGAAACTACCGCCACCCATGGACTAACACCTCAAGAGCCACAAGTTTATGTTAGCGTTAGGATTTAAATATTAGCTTCCTTCGTTAAATTTTCTAATAATTAACGCCTTATCATCATCATCATCAGCCCATCGCTGAACATAGGCCTCTCCTATTGCACTTCACTTCGATCTATTCTCGGCTTCTCGCATCCAGCTCCTGCCGGCCATCTTACGCATCAACGCTTATGAGATAATATATATTTAATACATAATAATATTCACAAACGACTACCCGCATAAATTAACCGTTTATACCCGATGAAGTGGAACACGACGCAGCGGTCGTTCAGACCAATAACGAGTAGTACAATGAGGCAGTGTGCTCATTGATAACCCTTACGTCGTGGGTGCTTTGTCAATGAGGGCCTTATGTACCGGGGTTACGCTTTTATTGACCTACCGTTATTTACGGGTTACGTACTAAACGTTGGATTATTAGGGATAATCTATCTGCACAAAAATGTTAGGTCACCTCAGGGATAATTTTTTTGCTACCAAGGTTACCCAGTGCAGCAGTCTTAGCAAAACTTGCAAGTTTGTGGGTCAAGTCACTTGTTCTTGATTTCTGTAAATTCATCAATCATCAACAGCCTTAATTTGTCTACTGCTGGACATAGGCCTCTCCTTAGAAAGGAGGTTTTGACCTACTATACCACGTTGGCCAGACGAGTTGGTATAGGGTTTGTTTAAAGTTTTCCATTTCTTTGCAGTGCTGTTGTCTTCTTCCTCTTGCCCTGCAGGTTTTCAAGGTCGACGATGTCATTTACCATCACCGTGACCCATCTGTACACATTACACAATACATATTTCATTTCGATATTGGCATCACCAATTTATAGCTGCCTTCGCACACGTAAATGACCAATTGAAAAAAATATTTATTTTTTATTTATTTATATCTTTATTGTATACAGTTAACACATAAGTAACTTACAAATATAGAGACTCAACAATCGGCAGTCTTATCGCTCACGGCGATCTCTTACAGATAACCTTAATACGGATATTAGATATTTAAAAAATTGGGTAGTTTACATACACGTAACGCATTATCACGTGAATATTTAAAAATATAAACTAAAACATTAATACACAAATAAACATCTGTTCACATTACACATAGATAAATACACATACATACATAAACATCATATTTATTTATTTGAAAAGCCTGTTCAAGTTATGACGTGTATAATTAATTTTGAAAATGCCTTAGAAATAGCGGTACAAAGTTATCTTACATGTATTCTAATAGAATTTTTAATTATTTCTAAAGGTACTGCTGTAATAACATAATGCGTTATTAGCATATCAAATCGCCGATATTACTTGTATATGTGTTAAAATTTTGCTTCAAAATATTCTCATTTAAAACGCAACGCTGAGATTGACAGCATTAAGACATATTGAATATGATGTCGCCCACCACATGTAAGTTTTAAAACAATATTTGTAAAAAACCTTGTGTCAATCGATTGTTTAAAAATAAATTTACAGCTGGAATTTTGTTTGAAGAATAACAAATATCAATAAAAGTACCTTTAACCTAGAAACACTTGACTGTCTGGGGCTGACATTTGTAAAACTTAGTCCTAGGTCCTGCAAGTTACGAATTAAAAAAAGCTTTTATGCTTGAGAATACCATAAAGTGGTAGGCCTTATATTCATGACCATCAATAGACTGTAACAGTCCACTGCTGGACATACGCCTCTATTTAAAAATAAGGTTATAGCCTACTATCAAGTTTTCATTCTCTTTGAAGTTCTGTTGTCGGCTCTTACGACTCCCACGGGATGAATAGGGATGGTGACGGTTCGTATTCTTAATCAGGCAACACACGGACTACGGTTTTACGTTATTTACAGTGTTTTTGTATGTCAGACAGAAAGAGTTTTGAAGAGATAAATGAACGATATGTGTAGTGGTGGTTGAACATAGCTAATTAAAAAAAAAGCGAATGTAAAGAAAACGTCATAATGATATGTATTACATTTTGTTCTAGTCAAGTTATACAAGGATGTGATGAATTTCCATACTGTTATTTTTAAATTTTTATAAAATCAGAATAATTCGCAGCAAAATTTGAAAAAAATCCTAAATAAACACTGAATTATTAAAGGATCTACAGCCTTAATGTATTTCCTCATAAATTTAGACCATCTCTTATCTCTCTTCTCTTTCAATTTATTTTGTTTAATGAATAATACTTTCTTTTTACAGTTCTTTGGTGTTTGATAATACTTGAATCTGTGCATTTGTCCCTATCAGAAGATCGTAATGACAAAAAAGCCGATGTTCATGTGCTTGGTGAATCAACTTTGGGAACGCCGATGTCATTTGAAGATTTCACAGTAAGAAGAGATAGTAGTAAAGGATCCTTCTATCATATCATGCATTTATTGCAACACACCAATTCTGATACATCGGAACACCACCAGCCACCAAATTATACAAGAGGAACCCTGAAAGCTATTATCGCAATTTTTGAGACCTAAATATAAAAGACCTAGACTTCTAAGGGTACTGCTGAGTTAAAATGTAGTATTTCTGTGACCCACTTTATTCGGCAATAAACAAATATATAAAATGGCGTTTGAAATTAATGAATAGGGCTATAAATAGAGCTTTTTTTACTTCGTTTCCCAAAATATTACTCAAATAACTTTTATAAATGTCTCTTTATTGAAGGAAACCATATAAGGCTAGAATCTGCCGTCTTTAATTATCATACCGCTTAAAGCAATTTTTTAGGTGCTTTTCACCACGTGTTCAGTTAGATTATCTGAGGCCTACCCCTTGGGGGTGCGCAATTTACAGGGCGGCAAAGCACTTGTGTCTGTCTTTCGAGTTGG